GTCTTTTAGCATAAAACAGATAGCTGTGGTTTGGTTATCTTCTTTCAGACAATTCCTCAGAACAGAAAAGGAATAAAATGAACCTGGGCCGGCCTAATCGTATTAACTGATCAAAGTGGAAAAGTTTGTTTTTATTGGGCTGAGGTACTATGAAAAGACAAGGCTAATTTTTAGGGATTTATTTATATAGATTCTATGAACTACGTGTGTAATTTTGAGGCCGATGCGTTTTCCGTTAGCTTTCTTCGATGTGTTTCTCGTTTGAGTGTTATGGTTTTCATTCTGGCCATGGGATTTAGATTCTATGGGTCTTTGTGGTTGTAATCGTTTTTACTTGTTTTTTTAATAAAATTTGTTCCTTCAAAAAAATAATAATTTTTTACTTGTCACTATCATGTCTCAACTCGTTACATAATTAATAATTTGGACCCTATATCATATATTCAAAAATAATTTAAATTTGAACTCATTTAATACAGTTTGAATATGAATAATTGAATATATTTATGTTACTCTCCCTCCCTCCCTGTCTCTCACACACACCCTCTGCCTTTCCCCCGCCCTCTCTCTCTCTCTAACTATAAGCTGTGGCCTCAGAAACCCATCTTTGGTGTGATCCTCTCAACACCAAGATCTGCTACAGCAACAACTATAGTGATGGGGGTTTTTTTTTTTTTTTTTAAATAAAACTACCAGATAGGCATTTTCTTTTTGGTTTTTATGTAATTGTGGGGTCATGTGGGGATCACTAATGATTGGAAATCTGTGGCACTGTGTTTTGTAATTTCCTTTTAAGTTGTTGGCACTGCACCAAGACGGTGATGCCGAATGTGAACGATTTTCTTCCTCCTCTCATTCTCTTCTTCTCGTCTCTTCCTTCTTCCCCAATTTTTCATTTTTGAGGCTATCAATAGTATAAGAGCCGTTGATCTGATGGCTGATGGTACTCATTTGCTGTAAGGATGCTCTAGATTAGGATTTAAATCATTATATTAACTATAGTTAATTAAAGACTAATCCAAATGAATTATCCTACGAAAGATTAACATGAACAAGTGATTAACATGTATTTTCACAAATTATATTTAAAATAAAGAGATCTCAAGTCTTTAAAATATTCAAGAACTCACATTATTTAATTAAATATATGCGGAAGCGTGAGATTGATTGAATATTAAAAAATATATTCCGAGATAGGAAAAAAAATTCCCTCCTTATTTTCTCTTTGAGCCCTGCTCCACGTAGTACATACATACATACATACATACATACATACATACATATATTCACAATATAACACTTAGCTATTCAAATCTTTCTATCACTGGCTAGGGGGCTCATGTTTTAATCACATTTATTATAATGATTATCACTTAGTCATCATGCTCTATATATTATCTAACCATCAATAGCTCATCACATGCATGAATTTTCCTTTGCATTCATATATAGTTAATATCAACTACTTACTCTTGGACATTAAAAATACAAGAGAAGACCATAACAATATTCAAGTTCTCAAATCACACATATAATAATTATTTGCATTTGCACAAGTATTTTGGCCCACTAATATAAATATAAGCACCAAACCACATTCTTAAGGTCTAAAACTACACTTCCACACAACACAAAACTTATAAGGTAAGTGAATCAAGAGTATATTGTCTTAGCTGGCAATATCATAAATTGAATATACATATCAAAATAAAAAAAAAGGCCTACAGAAGTTATTATCATCACTTGGCTTGAAGCTCCTTTCCTATGTTCTTCTCATATGAGCTAGCTCTTGTAATATATTAAAAGAAAAGGGTGAGTACAACTACTCAATAATTAAAGTATATCTAAGTTATACAAATATATTATAATTAATTTTGAATACAAGTGACTGATAAATTCATCAAGATAACCATGTAAACAATCATATCAAAATCATATTAATCACATTAACATCTAACTCACAGGAATAATCTCAAGAATAAAGTCAAGGATAAAATTGGCATGATTGCTCACAAGTACTAAATGTTAGTACAAAATTGGCACAAGTGTCCACATGTACATTTTTTACATGTTTATCACAAGTTCTTATTTTCATAATTATAATCATAGTTTCAAATATAGCTATCAATTACTCAAATGGCATAACATAATAAAATGCATGATCAATCTCTTTCTTATATCCCCTCTTATTTTATCTAACATGAAATTTGTAGGCCAATAGCCAAAAGGGGTCATCAATGTGGTGAGACCACCTAAGGCCTTAATCATATCGGGAGAGGTTATTAGGCCAGGGTTATCTTACTCACTTATGAATATAGTTCCTCCCAAATCACACACTATTAGGTATCATACTTAAGACTAACTCTATCCAAAACTCTAGGTAAGCCAATAGGGTTAAGTCCCTTAGTAGAAAAAATGCTATAGTATCCTATAAGGTACGTAAAGGCCATAACCCTTGGTATTAATGATTAATACCCAAGTATCATATGAATTTTGCACAACTACTAGCTCCTTCACTAAGGCAAATTTCCACCATGTGATGATGCTTATAAGAAAATATATTTCAATAACTCTCACATATGTAATTCACAATTATCCCACATGATCCTCAATTTTCATGCTCAACAATCATCAAGAATAATCAAAATTCAATCATGCCTCATGCATTAATTTTCATGTTACTACAAAAATTACATTAGCATCATATAAAAACTCAATATGCTCATACACAATTTATCACCATGAATAATTTACAATTTACAGTCAAAAGTATTTACGTCATCATCAACCCTCAACCTCAATACTCAAATAATATTACATTATCTCATAAAAGCATAAATTAATATTAACATTTCACATTATAAGTAAGCTTTCCTATTCATTTTTTTCTCCACATACAACCATCATATTCAAATTCTTTACATTTGCCATAATTAACTTTGTCACAAATTGTAGGATCCCAATAAGGCAACATATGCATTACAACAATAATTTCAAGATATATATATATATATATATATTCATTTATTTCACAAATATAATTAATTAACACACAAATATATAAAATAAATTTCACCTAGTTAATGTAACCTTTGAGGTTACCCCTCAAATCAATACTTTCAAAGCTTGAATAGTGTCAAATAATAATTAATTTTAATTAATCATATCACAATACATCACTAATATTATTAACACAATTCGATTCATATTCTAACACTAGAGAGAGGAGGGGGGGTGAGCGGGCGTGAGTGCATGTATTGAGACATTAGTTTTAGATTTTTAAATTTTAAAATTTAATTTCATATATTTCAACTTATTCACTTAGTTTAATGATTTCCTTCACAATAATTTCATTAAAATTTGACTAAAATCATTCTTTTTATTTCATAAATTCACATCTAAAAATACTCAAAAATTACAAACTTAGTTTGAAGCCTAAAATCATCATTTTATAACCATAATAATATATCTTTCATCCTAAATAATTATCTAAACATTAATAAATTAACTTATATTTTTAAATTTAACTAAAAATCTACTCATAGAGATCTAAAGTTTAACTAAAAAGCCTTAAATTTAAATTTCATCAATGAAATAATACTATAAAATATTTATTATACTGCTAACAACCTTAACAACCATATATATTCATCATAAATTCATCTCCCTTTCAAATCTTAAATTTTCTATAGTTACAAGATCAGAAACTAAAGAGAAAATATGACTAAAAAATATATTTAAAACACTTACATAATTTTAAAATACTTAAAATCTCACCTGAAATATTTTATTGTGGAGATCTATTTTTTAATTTAGCTCCTATCACAAAATCTTTTTCTCTCTGTATATGATAAGGAGTTGCTAGCCATAGTGCATGCGGTTTCTAAGTAGCACCAGTACTTATGTATTTGGCCATTTACTATCTTGACATATTAATGAAGCTTGAAATTCTTGCTTGAGCAGAGATTGTTGACATCTTCTCAATATACTTGGATTACCAAGTTGATGGGGCTTTAATATGAGATTAAACATCGGCATGGTCAAGAGAATGGAGTAGCTGATGCATTATTTCGTGCTTCTTATGGCGAACTTCTTCACCTATCCGTTTCGTCTTTTTCCACTGAGCTTTAGGATCATGTGCAAGCTCAATGGCAATCAGACGCTACCTTGCAAAGATTAGTTGAAGACTTGAAGCGGGACCCGGCCTCACATCTTAAGTGTTGTTGGCATCAAAATATGCTTCTTCAAAAGCAACGACTAGTAGTGGGGGTCAGATCAATATGACTTGAAGCAACTCATTATTCAATGGTTGCATAGCAGCCCTCAAGGGGGACATTCAGGAGCCAAAGCGACATGTCAACACATTAAAGCTATATTTTATTGGAAAAGGGATGATGTCTGATATTAAGAAGCATTTGAAACACCATGGAACTTGTCTTCATTGCAAGTATGAGATGGTGGCCTACCCTGGCTTATTACAACCATTATCGGTTCCTCATGTGTTAGCAAAGTATGGTAATGGATTTTATTGAAAAGTTACCATTATTGATGAGCAAGGATACTATATGGGTTGTTATTGATTGACCGAGCAAATATGCTCATTTTATTGCTCTTGCTCATCCATTTACTGCAGCTTCCCTTGCTCAAGTTTTCGTTGCTAATATTTATAAGATTCACAGTGCCCCAGCTAATATTATCAGTGATAGGGATCCTTTGTTTACTAGTCAGTTCTTGCGGGAGTTTTTGCCCTGTTTAGAACATTATCTGAGTGAAGTGTTGAATTATTACTTAGAACATTATCTAAGGTGTTTCACATGGCAACGACCACGCGACTGGGTGCATTGGTTGCCACTGTATAATACCACCTACTAAGAAGCACTGATACGGGTACGAGTATCGGGTACGATACGATACGATACGCGGACACGGCTATTTTCCAGAATTTTAGGATACGGGTACGGCTATATAAATAATTAAATATTAAATATTTGGATGTCTAAAAACACAATTTCAAGATGTCTAATGCCATAACAAAATATAATACAATAAATAGTCAAGCACTTAAACACTATCAAGTGTCAAAAGATAATTATCAACTTAAAGTAATTCTAATCTTCCTCATCTTCATTGACACCACCACTTTCTCCTATAAGTTCTCTCTCCAAAATTGGCTCATCTAGAGATAAACTTGCAACTTCAAGATTTTCAACATCATCTATTTCCCAACAATCTCCACTAATATCCCACAATTTACTTTCTCCAGTAGAATACTTCTCACTCTTTCTTGAAAGAAGACGAAGATTTGAATGAACAAAAACTAAGTTCTCTGCTCTTTTTGAAAGCATCTTATTTCTCTTTAGTGAATGAACAAAAGAGTAAGTGCTCCAATTTCTTTCACAACAAGATGATGAGCATGGTTGATTGAGAAGTTTCAATGCAGTCCCTTGAAGTTTAGGAGCATCAGCACCATGATTGCTCCACCAAGCCTTAGGCTCTAATACCCATCTATCTTGTATGGAATCAATAAAAGAGAACTCATCTGAACATCCAGAAAATTTTGAAAATTCATTCATAACCAATTTCCTCTCTTCTTCATCTGGAAACATCCTTCTAATGCACTTTTTCCTCTCAGTTGATATTTCAGCATCTCTATGTGGAGAGACTCTATTTAGTCCACCTTCAAGCCATTGTGTTGCATAATACCTAAAATAATATAATAACATTAATTGGAGTTGTGATGTAAAAATGATAAAGAAAAGAATTTCATGATCAAAAATAAGAATAACACACCTAGGATTCAGTGAGTGGGCAAGACAATGTAGTGGAGTGGCACTCTTTGTCCATCGATCAATGATGATGTTATAAACAACTTCATAAAATGAAGAGTACTCAGAAAGTGATTTTCTCTCATGCTTATAAATTGATTCCTTGATTTGCTCTATCATTGAATCCCACATCTCATAAATCAAATGAAGTGTGGGTCTATCTGTGTCAGCAAATCTCAACATATCATAAATTGGTTTAGTGAAAGAGAGAATATAATCAACCTTCTCCCACCAAAGATCATTAAGAATTATGTCCTTCACAGTAGCAGCCTTTCCAACATCATCATCTCTATAAGCATTCCATTCTTCACTAATAACCAGTGTATGAAGAGAAGTTTTGATAAGTTTGAATCTCTTCAACATCACAATTGTTGATGCAAATCTTGTTTCGGCTATTGCAAGCAATTTTAATGGCACGAATTCATTAAACATGGCCAATCTCATAGAATGATTCATGATAAATGTTCGGATAAAGACTGCATCATCCCTCACCTCAGTGATCCAACAGCATTCTCCATAAACAATTTCATTTGCCTCTGTATTTTTTGCTGCACATATATTCTTCAAGGCAAGATTAAGTGTATGCACCACACATGGTGTCCAAAAGATGTGAGGATATTCATCTTCCACCATCTTACCAGCAGATTTACAAACAGGTGCATTATCAGTAATTACTTGAACAACTTTATGAGGCCCCACTTCTTCAACTACTTTCTTTATCAAGTCAGCCATGTAAAATCTATCTTTATACTCACTAGTTGCATCAATTGCCTTCAAAAACATGGGACTTCCATCACTTACAGCCATAAAATTAATTAATGGCCTTCTTTGTACATCTGTCCAACCATCTGTAACTATACTTACCCCCTTATGATTCCAAGTCCTTTTAATTGATTCAAGTTGCTTTTCAACATTGGCCCTTTCTTTTTGCAACAAAGTAGACCTTAGTGCATTATAACCAGGAGGTTTAAAACCAGGAATTACATTGTTGGCAGCATATTGAAATGCACTAATAAAATATGGGTTACGTGCCAAATTGAAAGACAAACCAGCCGAATAGAACATTCTAGCAATTTCAGCAGTTAAATTATCTCTAGCTCCTTGTTGGAAAGCTCTTTCTATTGTATTTATTGCCCTCCTTTTTCCCTGATTGTGTTCACTTTGAATAGGGGTAGAACCCCTTTGACATAAAGGAGACAAGCTCTCAGTTGGAGTTAGCAATGGCACATGTCTTGGTTTTGTTCTATTCTCAGCCTCCTCTTGAGCTTTTCGCATTTCACCTAAACAACTATCATCAACTTTCGGGCATATAGCAATACCCTTTCCAGAGATCCTCAACAAATGAAATTTAACTCTAGAATAAGAGCCATTATATTGGTTATTACAATAGTTACACTTCCAACTTCTATTTCCACCATCCCCTTCATTTTCTTAAGGAACCAAAGTTACATAAGTCCATAAAGGAGTACTTTCTTTCTGTCTTGTATTACTAGATTGAAATTGAGAATTCACACTTCCTGAACTACTACCGGGTCTAGAATTAGAAGCCATTGCAGGTTTAATTTTAAACAATATCCTACAATTTTAACAAAAAGAGAGCTAATAAAAATTTAAAATAAATCAATGTTTAATTCAACAAAATAATCTATCTAAATAAAAAAAAATTAAATTAGTAATTCAGTATTAAATTTGAAAACTAATCAATTGCTCTGGCTCTCTCTCGGTTCAGCATTGAGCAAATTATCCAACAATGCAATAATAAGAAATTCGAAATCAGCAGCTAAATCTGATAGATACATAAAGAACGAGAGGCAGCGCATCGAAGAATGACCATACATGAAGAACTGAACAAATTACCAAGATTGAAGCTGAAGAACGACGGTGAGGCAGAGGCAGAGCAGACGGTCGAAGACGCTGAGGCAGAGCAGACAGTCGAATATGAAGACTGAGGCGGAGCAGACGGCGAGGCAGCGTGAATAAACGTGAGAGATGAAGAACGAGAACGACCAACACAGGCAGTGAAGTTACAGAGCAGAAAACACGAGAAGGGGGTCGATTGGAGCTGAAAATGTTAGGGCATCGGATTTCTGGAGCTGGGACTGAGTTAAAAGAAGTGAAAAACGCAGAGTTTCGCGTCCGCCCGTGTCCGACCCGCGTCCGCCCGTGTCAACCCGCATCTGCCCACGTCCGCCGGAAACCGGGAAAAGGGACGCGCCGTTCCCCCATCCTGAACGCGTGTCCGTGTCGGATACGTATCCGACACGGACACGCCAGCCATTTTGGCGTGTCGGTGCTTCTGAGACCACCTATCATTCCTCTACTAGTACTTATGCATTTAAAATCATGTATGGCTAACCTCTACCATTGCATTTGCCTTATGAGTCAGCTATGGATTCCATTAATTGTTCCTTCTCTGCTCGAGAGCTGTTGTTATCACAGCTTAAGGATCATTTGCATGCAGCCATGAATCATATGAAGCAATAAGCTGATCATCATAGGTTTAAGCGTCAATTACAGGTCGGCGACTGGGTATATTTGAAATTAGCTCCTTATCGCCAAAATTCTGTTGCATTTTACTCCTCGAAGAATCTCTCTCCTAGCTATTATGGTCCTTTCCAAGTTAAGATTGTGTGGGCGAGGTGGCATAAACATTAGCTCTACCTCCATTTGGTAAGGTACAACCCGCCTTCCATGTCTCTTTACTGAAGCAATGCCCAGACCCCACAGTCGAGATCATCCATTTTCCATCGCCACCACTCCATCGGCTTCTCCTATTCCATTTGCTATCTTATACTGACATGTTATTCAGCATCACAATCGTCTAGTTTCTCAGGTGCTGATTCATTAGGCTGATGGCTTGCTAAAGGAGGCTACTTGGCTTACTTGGTTTGACGTGGAGATTGCTTTTCAGAGTGAGTTTGTGCTTCGCATCCTTGAAGACAAGGATATTTTTGAGGATGAGGTATTGGCAGGGTTTTTTTTTTATATAATCAAACTACCCGATAGGCATTTTCTTTTGGTTTTTATGTAATTGTGGGGACCACTAATGATTGGAAATATGTGGCACGTGTCATGTAATTTCCTTTTTAAATTGTTGGCACTATAATGGGACAGTTATGCTGCATTGCATGTGAAGGATTTTCTTCCTCCTCTTGTTCTCTCTTCTCCTCGTCCCTTTCTTCTTTCTTCCCTTATTTTTCATTTTTGAAGCTATCATATAACCTCTCATAGCCTTATTATTTTTGCAATGCAAGGCATGTCGTAGGTATTGGACCTAGAGTGCAACTTTAAGGAATGCCCACGTCAGTAGTGGTTGCCACAAGCCCAAGAACCCCAAAACCTCAGCTCCTTCCTCGTCTTCCATCAACATTGGTTCTGCCCCATCATTATAGTGTGGGCCCAGAGATTCCATTGTTATGACTCGTTCACGATCATTGAAGCTTGGGACTACGGAGAGACTTCTACATATATAACATTGAAGTGATTCCAGGAGACTTAATTGATGATTTGTTGATCACCTCCATTGAAGTTAGGCACGAGAGAGAGGCTTCTATTTGACTAGTTAGAGTAATTGAAAGAGCCCCTATTCTTCATGACTTGTTGATCACCTCCGTTGAAGCTTAGTTCTATCCTGAAACTTGTGATTTTGCAAGAGACAAAGAAGGCCATAAAACTCATACTAAAAAAGGGGAGAGAGGGAGATGAATGGAGAGGAGAGAGGCAGAAATAGACAGAATTTTTAGGCCTACACTAACAGCCTTCAAATTAACTGGAAGGTGATTGTATCAAATTTAATTGTTCAAATTTAAAATAAACCAAATATAAATTTGGTATATTTTAATGCAAACAGGTCTATATATCTAATCCATTTTGAGTATGCACATAAATAACTTTTATCATCTAAATTGAAGAGCTTTCAGCTGGCCAAACTTTTCCCAAGCGTAGGAAAGTCCCTCGTCTTGTCCTATATCGATTTGGGCTTCTATCAAAATAAGAAAATGGGTCAGAAGACATGAAGAATACAAGGGAAGCACTTAAGCCATGAATGGTATAGATGAAGAGAGTTGCACGTGTCTGGAGTTTCTAACTTCAGCCAACAATCTAAGAAAAGAAAAGCTGGCAAGTTTAGTGCAAAATAAAGAAGAGGAGAGGAGAGGCATTGAAAGGAGAGGAATGAAGCTCAACCACAATAGATTAGAGGAGACAGCATTAATGATCTCGCATTGAGAGGAGAGAAGACAGAGCTTCGTAGACACAGATGAGAGAACGAAGGAGGGCGAGAGCTCTTTAATGGCGGCAAGGAAGAGATTTGATTAAGGAGTGGAGAGGCTGATGGGCAAGGCTTCCTGGAATGAATAAAATAAGGGAAGATTTTATTTTTTTAAGGCTGCATGACATGCAGTCGAACGCTGAAGTCAATTTTCACTTTTGAGCCATGGATTTATGAACAGTAAAATGGCTATGTGAAATTGTGAATAATAAGATGAGTGAGAAGCTGTCATAAGCCATTTTTCAGATTTGGCTCATCCCATTTTGTTATAAATGATATATTCATTCTTGACTTCTTTGGTTCTTGCATTTTAATGCAAACAGGTCTATATATCCAATCAAGGTAACCCATCCATCTTTGCGTATAACTTATTGAATTTTCCTAACCATACAAACCACCGGAGGGTACAAAACGTTTCTGATCCATAATTTAGAATTTATATTACCATTTAAGTCTAACAAAAATAAAATCTTATTTTAAAATATGTCATGTTATTTCATCCTCATTAATAGATCCTCGTTTGTCTTTTTGGTCAAAACAGATCCTCGTTTTCAAAAAAAAAAAAAACACAAACGCACAACAAAAAGTAAAACCACGCAAGCATGCCTTCGTTGCATCCCTGCGGTAGATTACCGTTGCAAGGGCTTGTTGGAGAGTACTTACAAATTTCTCTTTCGGCTGGACACGAGCGGGAATATCAAGGCCTCTGGGCTCCGGAGGTACTTAGAGCTCACAGACGTCACAGGTAATATCCCTTTCTCACTCGCGCATACTAATCCATTCGAACAGGATCATAAGTCATAACGAAAACTTACATCAATTAAATGGGCGTCCTTGGACATATCTGGAGTTGTGAAAATGAGAAATGAATTTTATCCAGTTCGAAGAATGAGGATTCAGGAGTGAATTGTGTAATTTATTAGCATGAATTAACTTTTATCCTACTTTATATAGGTTACGTCACCCCACAGTCATTTACTTCTCTAGGCCTGCCGACTCATCTTCCTTCTGTTCTTCATCCTTGTAGCTGTTGACGCAACAATCCAAGCTCGTTCATGGAGCTCAAACCGGGTTTGTCGGCACTGGTCACTGGAGGTGCCTCTGGAATCGGTAACATACAAAAGACGGCCGATTGATTCTTCCTGGATTCTATGATACTTCGATTTTTCATGATTTTATATATGCGTGTGTTTTCTTCTTTGGATTTATGAAATAAATATATTGGTGATTTAAAACTTGTTTGGTGACCGTTTGTGCGGAAGTTTGGTGCTTTTGTTAATGTTTCAGCTCGAAAGGATGAGTTTAATGGTTAAACTATGGGGTCATCAATATAGCTAGATTTAAGTGTATATGACTGTGAACGTGTTCGGTGTTCAGATTATTATTGGTAACTGGAGTATCCATTCCCAATTCCATGATGTCTTTCTTCTTCTTCACTGGGATGTTTGGGCTTCGACTAACAGACAATGAAATGTTCAAGGTGTTAATGATCAGTATAGGGACTAATTGGATGATAAGTAACAAGAACAGAAGGAAGCCAACGACTATGTAGCTAAGGGGAGGATTGGTTTTGAAGCTTTGATTGTGGTCTTACGGCTACTATAATAGACTTATGAAAGATAATATACACTGATTTACCGTTCTATCTAGGGAGAATATTTTAACTTAGCCGCTATTTCTGTTTCATAGAAATTGGAACATCACATTAGCAATCACTTGATGCAGTTATTGGATTTAAATATCATATCTATGATTTAGATAAAACAATTTATGCGTAAACTGGATTTCTTCTTCCTTTGGTTTATATACAGGTAAAAGTCTTTCCTTAGCTCTTGCAGAGAAGGGTATATTTGTCACAGTTGTTGATTACTCTGAAGAAAAGGGAAGGGAAGTTGCATCCCTTGTCGAGAAAATTAACACGAAGTTTCATTCCAAGTTAGAACATCCATCTGCTATTTTCGTGAAATGTGATGTGTCTAACTCAAGTAAGTTAACAGTTATCTATGAGCATTACTTACCATACAAAAAGAATCAGTTTTATCCAAAGTTAAACTATTCTCTTCCCTTTGTCCACAATGCTGGAAGTTAGGCTTGGTCACTTAAAGTTCTTTTTTTAAGGATGATCATCCAGCCTGCTTTTGCTTTCAATTTCAGGTTTAGTATTACCAATCCGTGATAAAACAGCATCATATAAGGGGAGGATAGCCATATATTCACATGGAAGAAAAAGCAATGAATTTCATAATCTGGAGGGCTTATTTTTACTTTCATCATTTTCCAACTATCATCAAGTCGTATCATTTTTATACATGCCATAAAATGTCAATCACATGTCATTTTGTCTTTTTTATTTCTGATTGTTTGCAAAAATTTTAATTTATGATTAACATCAGGGGATATTGCTGCTGCATTTGAGAAACATTCATTGACATATGGTGGACTGGACATTTGTATCAACAGTGCAGGGATCGGTAATCCTGTACCATTTAGCAAGGATAAGACAGATGGCTCTCACTCATGGAGATACACTATTAATGTGAATTTGAATGCTGTTATTGATTGCACTCGCCTTGCAGTAAGCTTGAGGCTTGGTTTTACTTTATCCTCTAATTCTAATTATAATTTTGCTTAAATCTGCCAAAACAAAACTCAGTTCAACGTGAAGGTGGAAAATTATGAACTGCATGCATAACTATGCTATTTATTTCTTAAACGAGTGAAAAAAGGTTAAAGCCATTGACTATAAATGACACTAACTACTTGATGTTTGATAGATTAGAACCATGGAAGCTGCCAAAAGGCCTGGCGTGATCATCAATATGGGATCTGCTTCTGGTCTTTATCCAATGTACAATGAGCCTATCTATTCTGCCTCCAAAGGTTTGCCACTTTACCAACTTTAATGAGATTTACTCATCAAGAACTTCTTGTTGAAATTGGAAAACTAAATATACTCACAAAAAGGAGCCTAAGGATCTGATCAACAATTCCAACCGTTATTAGTCAAA